ATTAGCTAAAAGTAAACAAAACCAGTTTCAACAGGCTATTAGCTAAAAGTAAACAAAACCAGTTTCATCAGGCTATTAGCTAAAAGTAAACAAAACCAGTGTCATCAGGTCATTAGCTAAACAAAACAAAGCCAGTTCCATCAGGTTATTAGCTAAATGTAAACAAAGCCAGTTCCATCAGGTTATTAGCTAAACGCAGATGTACGTGAGGTGGAGTCGGTTATCATATGTGGATTTTACTGCGTATTTGAAAAGCGCACAGCTGTCTTGGAAAAACACACACATATATAACTTTTTAAAACCCAAAACCCTGGGTACTTACTGGGATTACTTGGGTTGTCTATCCGTTCCTACAAATTAAGCCGACACATCCGGAAAATGCTCCTAAGTACGATTTAGGTGATGCAGTTAAAATTGAAATGTCTTTTTGATATTGGAACAAAAATCAATTCCAGCATTGTATTCTAACTCACATTGAATGGAAATGCCCTACACCTTCAGGACGTCATTGAAAAAATCGGCTGTCCTTCGAGGAAACATGTCCAAGTGACTGCTGCATGGCTCTACCGAAAGCCATGAGTCTCTGGCCCACAAATCGGTCTACACAATTCTTGAAATATTCCCAACACACACACACACACGCACACACACACACAGAGGCGTGCACACGCACAGGCACGCACACACAAACACACACACACACACACACAACAACAACAACAACAACCAACTGCCTTATTATAGGCTTGGTGGTTCACATGAAGAACTCGTAGCCATGCAGTTTTTTTTTTTTTTTTTTTTCAACACAAACATGTATAATACATCGAAAACGAGACAGTTTCTGAAAAATGTTATCTGTAAATAGTAATTATGGTAAAATCAATGACTAATTGTTTCGATTACATATTCAATTTTTAGTTTTGTTTTTCTATTGATTTATTCATCTATTATTTCTGTTTATTTATTTGCTTTGTCTTTGTCGTATAATGATACTGATATAATCGCGCAATAGCTTGCAGAAAAGAAAAGTTCCAACAATCGAATCTTTAACATTACGAGCTGGTTAACCGGGGTTGGACGGATGCCGTCTTCTGGGTCTTCCGGAAGACGGCCAGATTTTTTCAAGTTTACATTAACGGGCATTTAATTTTTCTGTCGGAAGACGGTCAAAAATGGAGAATGAATCTGCAAAGATGATTTGGAAAATTGTCAGAAAATATCAAGATCTACAGGTAGTCTTAGTAAACGTCTAATCCGTTTTCAAGGCCTGCTATCAAGATGCTTATATTATCAAGTAAACGCGTGCAGAGAAGACAATTTTCAACAGACGGCTCTGTAGTATTACGAGGTTTACCTGGTAATCTTATTCTCCGTCTGCCTAGATCACGATTACGTGAAACTGGTCCACTTGATTACACTTTCCCTCATGAACAAATGCTAGAATGACGTCAACATCTCACGCAGAACTGCGAGATCACGCACTCCAACACATGCTGGTGATTTAAGAAAAGAGAGGCGTTTATTCAGCCATTGATATACTAATTAAAATCACGTATAACAGAAATTGGATTGCTTTTCGGGTAAATGTATAAAGTATAAGATAACATTTTAGTTGCTAAGAATTTTTTTTTAATGAGAGACAGCAGATGGGTAAAAACTTTTAAAAAAATCTTTTGGATCCTTTAAAACGTAAAAAGTCTCTTGTTTCTCGGAAAGAAATTAAGAAGACCGTATGCAAGGTGGGTGCAATAAAGAAAGTACCAAACTTACATCATCATCATCATCATCATTATAATCAATTTGGATAAGAAGTGTCAAACTAATATCATCATCATTATCATGTATGATGATTAGGTCTCTGCCAGTTTTAAAAAATAATTGAACACATTTTTCTTCATCATCGCCTCGGAGAAAGTATAAGCGATGCACATTCTCTCTGTGAGGCACATATTACTCAGCTTATAAAAAGCCATCCACTAACAAGCTTTTAACAACTTCCCCCAATCCCAACACGCACTTATAACGGCTGTAATGAAGAAGCATGGGCAGAAACGCCAATGTTTATAAAAATCCAAGGCTTACGCGGATTCAGGAACTTTTTACACACACGATACATGATGCAAGACACAAAACAAACAGAAAGATCAATTTTACGGTTCTTGGGGAATTAAATCACCGTTCTTGCAAAACATCCTGATAGCGTTGGTGAAAGAGTACACGTAACATTTAGCTATTGTTAAGTCATGTGATCATTAGCACTTTAGTATTTAATCTGCAAGTACCGTTGTATAAAAAGAGCGTGCTTGATGTTGAAATGGGATCTAGTGTTTCATTAATGATAAACGGTCTTCCAAGGAAAGCATAAGGTTCACAGCATATAACAGTTAAACTTCCTGTTTTCTGTCAAAAATGTTGACGGATCGTAATGATAATCCCTTCTCGTCTTTCTTGAAAGCAATTACAAAACCTTTCTTTTTTTTTCAGAAATTCGAAACATCTTTTTATAAGCCTAGAGAAATATTAAATGTGGATCAAACAGATGGGTGTTTGTACTTTCGCATAAAAGGGTAATAGGGGAGGACCTTAGTAATAACGGGAAGATTGGACTGGTGTAAAAGGAGTGGAAGTCCGCTAGGAACCGCAGTCCGTTCCCCATTACTTTGTACAGGTGACATTCGTCCCATATACTAACCCCAATACTCCTACTAACCCTAACCTGTACTCATCACATAGGACCCGGACTTCCATTCCTAGGACTACCATTCCTGTCACACCGGCATTACTACTGAAAATAAATCTGCAATGAAACAGATAAATCGCCTTAATGAATCCCTTGGTCTTCTATCATATTTCATGTGTAATGTGATGCTGTCAACCTCTTAATATTGTTTAGCAATGTGGTCGCAGCATCGTCTGCTTCTCAGCCAAAATGTAGCAGTTTCTTGCAAAAAAAAAATAATAAGAGAGAAAAACAATAAACCACACTGAGCTTCACAGAGTAGACATTATAAGATAAACTCAGTTGTCACAAAAATTGAAACTGGTCACCACGATCGACGCTCCAGATAAAAAAGTTTTTGAGTGAAAAAAGAGCCAGGTAGTCGGTAGAAGCGGCTTTTTTTTTCTTTGCAGACGATTTTTGCACTCAGTGACAACCTCCACTGACAAGAAAAAAGAAAAAAAACGAGGAAGTAACCGTCTAGATTTCGACCACAAACCTCATGTTGACCGCAGAACATTTGTCTAGATAATTAGATAATTGGCTGCAATGCGCCGTAGGATTATGTCCGAGCTAACCGCACTGTCAGTTGTGACGTCACGTTCTGTTCAATGTTCTGCTCAAAACGTACGGTGCATTTACAGTCCGGTTGTGACGGTTTGGCTTAGTGCCGTACTACGTCCATGTGTCTTTTCAGTTCGATTTCTTACCATCTCCACCACCGCAGCAAGACTAAATGCCCCAAGCAGGAACAAAAAAAATGATTAGATCGACTTCTTATGATTAGTCATTGCCACCATGTCGTCCGCTGAGATAACCAAAGACGTTCTAAATCAAGACCTCACAATAGTACTGAAAATGTGTCTTTAATTTCCGAGGAGACCTTAGCGGTCACGTTCTCTCAAGCGCAATGAAATTGAGCCGTGTCTCGCAACAGAAGGAGAAGCGATGCGCTCGCGTTTCAAACTGCCTCACGCCACCCGGTTTCCGGTGTTTCAGGGAAAAATCAGGGAGAGTGTCTCTCTCTCTCTCCAATCTCCACACCTGAACTGCGTCACTAGGTGTGACAGAAGGAGAGTATATAAACGCTCGTCACCCCTTCTGCCTAGAAGAACTTCAGAACTTTCCGTGTTCGCAATCAACGGCAGTAGAGACAGAAGAAGATTTCCGCAGTTTGAATTTTATTTTCGAAGTACTGTAGCAATAGTGAAGCTATCCCCCGCGGAACCGAAGTGAAAATGAGTGGAGCAAAGAACATCGTGCAACAGTTGGTCTTCTTGTGCCTGTGCGTGTGTGTTTTGAAGGCATCGCCCCTCCGAAGGGAAGAGGTGAGCTGATGTTTGTTTTTTT